ACAAGAGAGGCTTTCAGGGGATGCATGTGTCTGTACCGGGCTCTCCTGGCACCCGCTCCGCTCATTAAAGAGCCGCTTTAATGAATTCCAGTCCCCTCCCTACAAACACACACGGGCCACCAGCCCTGGCCCCCACCTGGCCCCCACCGCAGCCTGAATGGAGCCTTGTTGAGCAGCCAGCCCCTCCCCGGCGCCGTGCCCACCCCTCCCCACGCAGGGTTTGCTCCACGCTTTCCTCCTCAGCCTCAGCATCCTCCTCTGGGAGTCCCTGCAGCCCCTCGGGGACTCGTCTGTGCCCCCCACAGCCACTCATGCCCTCCCCCAAAATGGTATCCAGCCATCCTCAGATGCCCCGTGCCAGGGAGGGAGCCTGCAAGTGGGAAGGGCACCCACTCACACGTCCCAGGAGATGTCTCCCTGTTCCCAAAAGCCTGGTGCCCAGCTCTGGTTGACCCTGCAAACCCTCACACAAGAGCTTTGGGAGCGCTTTTCCTTGCCTGGGCTGAGAGTTGGCTCCTCCATCCTCCTGTGTGCTGGGGAGGAGGTGGGAGAAGTTGGTGTGCTGAGATGTTGGAACACCGAGGAGAGCTCCAACGGGCCCCCCCGAGCCCCTGAGCCCCCCAGCTCAGCCCCTCTGGGCAGCCCCGCATCCCTTCCCCTCCGCTCCGCTCCCCAACCTGCCGGAGCCGGCTCTGCTGGGCTGGGATCCCAAAAAACTGCCTGAACACCAAAATAAACAGCAATTGGAGAGGCCAAACCTGCCCAGTTTGAAAGTGGAGGAGCAGAGGGAGAGGGCCAAGGCATCCCGGAGCCGGCACGTGGCTGGCAGCCCACCCTGAGCCCTGGCTCTTTCACCACCAGGAGCCAAGCATGGCAGGGGCCTTGCTCCCAGCCCCTTGCTCAGAGCTTTTGGCTCCTCTCACTGGTTTGGTTTTTTTCAATGCAAATTGAAAAAGAAGACCCACCCCCCGAGTGACAGTGCAGCCTGTAATCTGCTGGCTGCTGGCTGGCGGCTCGGAAACTGTGACGGAGGGTGCTCTCATCTGGGCAACGCCTTGCCATGGCCTGGCAGGGGCTGGCACTTCCTGTGGGACATGGCCAGCTGGGAACGTTGCTTATTTTTAGCCTGGGTGAGGAGGATGGTCAGGGTGACCATCCCAACCTGTGGCCAGGACATGGGGACTCGCTGCTTCTCGTAGCAGAGGGCAGAAGGCCAGCTTGGGCATCCCCATCCAGGGATGAGGCTCAGCTTGGGGCATGACATGGTCATGGCACCCTCACATCACCTGGGAAAGGTGCTTTTGGCTCACAGGAGTGGATGGACATGGGGCAATCGTGGGATGCTCAGCTGCAGCCAGCCCAGGGATGGGGCAGGGTCCCAGGAGGGGTCCCTGCTGTCTTTGTGCCCACATTGAAGCTGTGGTCCACATGATCCATTGGGATGGTGCACCCTGTGCCATGGAGGCTCCTCCAGGGTGACACGTTTGTAAAAAATGCCCAGCAATCCAACAAGCCATAATTTGTGTATTTTGCAGTGTGAGGGGGCAAAGAAGTGGGGAGGAGGAGGTAAAAACCTGTGAGTCCTTGTGAAGGAGAAACACCACAGGTCGAGCTGTATTCACATCCTGAGCAGGAACAGAGCAGAGGAGCCCTGAAACAAAACAGGAGTTTGGGAAGACAAACAGCAGTAACTCACACCACACTGCTGCTGGAGAAACATCCCAGTGCCTCTGGAGCTGGGCAAGGATCCCTTCTCCCTCCCCAGCAAACTGCACTGCTCCCCCGGGCATCCGTGCATTCAGTAACTTGTTATTATTAGTATTTTATGAGAGAAAGAAAAGAAAAGCATCTCTGGCAGCTTTGGGAGAACAGAGGCAGGACAAAATGTGCTGGCTGCAGGAGCTGCTGCCCCTTGTCACACTGGAAAAGAAGCTGGGGGCGCTGGACTGGCTCTTCCAGCCCCAAAACGTGCTCCCCAGGACTCCCTGGCAGAGGAGCTGCTGGTGGGTTCAGCCCCAGCAAAGTTGTCCCTCCCCGTGGGAGCAGCAGCTCGGTGCCCAGCTGAAGACCACATTTTGGGGATTATGGGAAGCCACAAAACAGAAACAGAGCCAGATCCTGGTGAGAGCTGGAGCACAGAGCCTGCACGCACGGGGGAACCTCGACAGGAGCCAGCACATCATGTGCAAGCGACATCTCTGGGGACCAAAAATATATTGCAGGCACATGTGCTAGGGCCTGAGCAGCACTTCAGGCAAGGAGGGAGAAGAATATTCCCTTTTGCAGTGTGCTGCATTGTTCCTGCTCACCAAACACCAGGACAAGATGGTGCTGAGAGCCCCAGGCAGCACCCACCAGCCTTGGGCACCAGAGGCTGGCTGGTTTTGTAAGGACCACTGGAAGGAGGGAACAGGTCAGGGGAGGACAGAGCCTGTCACAGCCTGGTGAAGAACAGCAAAGCTCCTCTGAGTCACTGCCTGGGCTGAAGAAGACAAGGAAGCCAAAGTGCCTGATGCCAATGGCAGGCACGAGGGCAAGGCTGGCAGCCCTGCCCTGGGCTGAGCAAAGGCCTTGGTATTAAAGCAAATACTCACTATTTCCATGCTGCCATTTCTTCCCTGCCTGGAGCGGGTGGGGTGATGGTCCCTGCAACACCCACGTTATTCCCCCAGGCCCCAGGAGGAAGCCAAGGCACCCTCTCCACTGCCAACAGCAGGAAGTGATTTTCCATGGTGTCTGGGCCAAGGAGGTCTCTCCATCCCTGAAGGGCTCAGAAGAACATCCCTTTCAGAGGCCACCACAGAGCTCAGCTCAGGAAAACACCCAAGTCAAAGCAGAGTACTCCAGCTCTGCCCATGCCAGGCAAACCCTCACCTCCAACCACAGGCTCCTTTCAAAACCACAGTGGCTGCTTCTTGTTGTTTTGGGTTTGTACTTGCTG